TGGCCAAGTGCTGAAATGAGTAGAAGTTTAGGAGCTTCATGGTAAATATTACCTGTGCAGTACTGTGTGAAAATCTGTTCAAAATGTGAGTGGTTTAGCTTAATTTGATTGTTTCCTTTCTCAGAAATCACTGCTGTGTACTAAAACCTATTTTATTGTCAGATTGGAACACAGTCTAGTATAACTCTTTAAAAATGTTGAAATGTTAAGGACCAGCTACAACTGTCTGGGCTGTAGAGTTCTACAGTTTTAAATCTGTGATGATGTTGGGTTTTGTCTCCAAAGGCAGCTTCTCTAATGTACTTTCATTTCTTTGTAGTACCACGACCTGGAGTATTCTTTCTGTTGATTTCTTTGGAATAACCCCATTGCTGTTATCACTGTTTCCTTCTGCTTAAAAAGGACAAATGTGTAAGTAAATTAAAGGTACAAAACACTTCCTGCCAATTTTTGTGCTCTGAAGCTCTCTTTGCCCCTGCAGCACTATATCTTACCAACAAAGCAATACCATAATTAGTGATTAGATCAATGTGAATCCTGAAGTCATATATATCAAAATGTTAAGTTTAGAACAAATGTGAGCTGACCAAAAGCTTAGATCATTTCATTTACTTATAAGCAACATCCCAGCTCTGAATGTTCTAGAAAGATAAAATCTGAATTGAAATCAAAGATCAATCAAATCTGTAAATACAAATACAGCCAAAAAAGTTGAAGTTTTATAATCAGAATTTTACCACCAAGAATGATGGCTCATTGTCAGAAGTACATGTTTCAGTATCCAACCACAGATTCTAGATAATAACATAAATTCACTATAAAACAGTCACAGTGGAAGATTGTACTACTGAAAGCTCTGTTATCTTTCTTGATTCACTCTTCTGGAGCCTTCTGCTCAAAGGAAACCATCAAAGGGCAATTACATGAGACAGAGGCTTAAATGAGACAGGAATAAGGAATTCATAAAGCCACGTTACCTTCTCAGTGGTTTGTGATTGTTGAAACTGTCAAGGAAGCTGCACAGATAAGAAATGTTTTTGACATCATCGCTGATGATGTTGGACGTAGTTGGTAGAATGAACACTGTGATTCAGCTTTCAGAAGTTCATCAAAGGACTCCCTATGTTCAGGATGTGCAGAAGTTTCCCTGAGCCTCTTTAGGAGGATAAAATACAGTATTATGTTGCAGTCTTAGCAGCTCTGACCAAACAGCCAAGCCTTATTGTACCTGCAAGTACTCATCAATGCAAGCTGTGAAAGAGTGAATATCTGCTTCAGTTTAATGATTCAAATAATGAATTAGTCATCCTGTTTTAATATACTAAAATGTTGGGCAGTATTTGCAGTGGATTACTGGAATGGCAAGGGGAAGACTTTTTAAAAATTTTAAACAAAAATATTGAAGTTTGAAAGAGAATACTAATACAAAATGTCAAAAAATTCAAATCTCAAATGCAAATTTTTTTCTTGTTTTCATGAGAAAGATAGCAGAAGCTACATCCTGGAAAGCTTTTAAATGCTTTCAAACATAAAGGAGAGGTGAAATCTTAAAAAATAATTCTGTAACTGGTCTCATCTGTTTATGTACAACCCCTGCCTGCTGTGGCAGCTTGTTTACTGTTTGTATAAATCTCATACAGATTTTTAGATGTATCCTGTAAATTTACATTAAAACTAATCTAGCCTCAGAAATTTTTAACAAAATATTCTTACCATTCTGTTGGAAGTAAGACTATCATCTTGCAAATAACATATGGTTGCTTATTCTGAAGCTGTGAATCTTTTGCTGTACAGGAACCACTAATGCCATGTGCATTTTTCAGTGCCACAGCAGTTGAGTCTTCAATAATAATACTCAGAAAAAAAGTCAGGATTGTTGTATATTCATTTTGTTAACTTGAATGTCTGCCCATTCTGATATACCTAAAATGCAAATCTGTCAAGACCTAATAAAAAGCCTGAATACTACATAACTATGATTTCATTCATATTTGATTCTATTTGTTAGTTATATGCATAGAAATACATAAGGTCAGGCTTATAGTTCAGCCATACCAATGTAAAAGTAGATAATCTGTCTGTTAGTATAGTTTAAGGTGACCATTTCCTGATAATCTAGGAAGAAGAATAGATTTTTATTTTCAGCAGCAACTTAAGTTATTTTACCAAAGTATAAATTTACAGCAAACTATTTTGTCATGCAAGAGTTGGGTGCAGATATTTTAAAATTTAACAGGGTCATAACCTATTTTCTGAAAACTAAATACACTCAAATAACCAAATTCAGAAATATTAATGATCAAGCAAGTTTTTTTCCTCAGTTTTTTAGGGCTCTTTGTAATATTGAGAATGTCATGTGTGATTCTATTTGTACATGTGTTCTTAAATTGACATGTGTTTTTTCCCTAAAATTCAAGTTTATGTCAACACCCTTCTGTACAAAAATCCCCTTCTAAGGTAACCTGGAAATTGAAAATTTAACTTAGTGTGTGCTATTATGTCTGTGAATCTGTAATTTTATCTTCCTTGCACTATTTCATCTTTCCAGTTCGTTTCCTGGATGCTTATGCAGAGTTGTGACAAAGCTGAATAAAAAAAGGTATGAAACATGGTTTTTAAAATACCTACTTGATATTTATTAAAATATCAATTTTTTTGACAATAGCAAATGCTACTCCTCAATTTTGTAGCAGATGTTATGGAAATTAGCAGTGGCTTCTGCAGAAACCCTGGGTCTGACTACAAAAAACAGATTGTGAGATTCTGAGTTCCCAGCTTAAGTTGGAGCAAGGACTCCACTGCGAGGATGTATCTCTGTCAAGGGGGTAAAATTCCTTTATATTTGCGATGCTGTTCTACAGCTGTCTGTTTCCTCTCATGCAGTTCAACTGTAAGTGATTGATTAAAATGTTATTTCCACAGGCCCCGTGTCACTTGTTTCAAAACTCACATGGGAATATTCTGGAGCACAGCTACAGATTACGAGTGTATGAACCTTAATTCTGTAGCACTCATTGCAAGGCTTGCAAAGGGAAGCTGGAGAACAATGTAGGTTCTTTCCTATTCTCCTTCACCCTCACTTCTCTGCCTCCTGTCCTTGTCCTAGGTCTGCACCAGTGCCTCCAAACCAAGTACTTCTGACAGGAGCGCACACGCTCCCTCTGCTTCTTTGATTCTGTCACTCTACCTTGGATAATTTTTGCAAGAGACATAGAAATGTAACCATCCTCGAAGGAGTTGTGTAAGAGAAGGCAGAGAGGCCTGGCAGAGAGACCTAGACAAGTTAGAAGGCTGGGCAATCACCAACTATGGAAAATTTAACAAAGACAAGTGCCAGATTCTGTACTGGGGACAGGTCAACCCTGGATGTATGTACAGACTGTGGAATGAGAGGCTGGAGAGCAGCACTGTGGAAGGAGACCTGGGTGGCCTGGTCAAAGCCAAGTTGGACATCAGTCAGCAGTGCCCTGGCAGCCAGGAGAGCCAACCGTGCCCGGGGGGGCATCAGGCAAAGCATCGCCAGCCAGTCGAGGGAGGGGATTGTCCCGCTCTACTCTGCATTGGGGCTGTTTCAAGTCCTGTGTCCTTCAAGTCCTTTCAATGTGGAGCTTGAGTCCTGTGTGCAGTTTTGGGAGCCACAATATAAGAAGGCTATAAATCTATTAGAGAGTGTCCAAAGGAGGAACATGAAGATGGTGAAGAGTCTAAAGGGGAAGCTGTACAAGGGGTGGCTGAGGGCACTTGGTCTGTTCAGCCTGGAGAAGGGGAACCTGAGGGAGACCTCATTGTGGTCTACACCTGCTGCACGAGGGGAAGTGGAGGAGCAGGAACTGCTCTCTTCTCTCTGCTGACCAGTGACAGGACCTGAGGGAACAGCATGACTCTGTGTCAGGGGAGGTTCAGGTTAGATATTAGAAAAGGTTTCGTCACCCAGAGGGTGGCTGGGCACTGGAACAGGCTCCCTAGGGAAATGGTCACAGCACCAAGCCTGACACAGTTCAAAAAGTGTTTGAACGACACTGTCGGGCCCATGGTGTGATTCTCGGGGATGGTCCTGTGCAAGGCCAGGAGTTGGACTCAATAATTCTTGTTGAGTCCCTTCCAACTCAGTATATTGTATGATTGTAAGTCTCTTAGAGCAATAAGGTTCCGTAAGTTTGTTTTGTATGACCTGCACAAACCAGGGCAAAGATTACCAGTAACAGCTCAAGAAAGAGCTATAAAGTTGTCTTTATGCATTTTAACACATTTACTATGCATAACTCTGCATATAAAGTCCTCCAAATAAAGATGATCTAGCACTGCTGCACATGACCAGGGAAAAGCTGGCCTGCCAGGAAAGGATTGCTGCAATCTGTGGACCTCTAAAAATGTGGTATCATCCTGTTCAGTCATGCACTTGAAATTGGTCACTATAAAAAAGACTAAGAGCTCATGATAGCAGCAATAATGGGACAGCGAAGATGACTTGCAGTTACACAGAAGAAATGCAAATTTCAGGACAAGGATTATGTGAACTGGCAGAGTAAGTAAATTCACAGTCACCTTTATTTAAAAAAGCAGTGCTCCTACCACTCCAGTGTGGTAAGAAAGACTTCACGTCATCAATCAACTACGCTCCAGAGCAGTAATGATTCCCAAATGGAAAAGGGTATGAGATGTGCACAGGGTTGGCGAGGATTTTGTTGCTGTCTCACATAGACTGGGAGCACATAAGCAGTTGAGACTGCACTGGTGTCCTGATAAGCATCATTTAGCACTGGATTTCTTGCCAGTGAATGTAGGTGCTAATTAAAGTATGCAACCTTTTTTTTTTTTTCAGGTTAAGCCACTAAATGTTAATTTTAGTGTTTAACAAGTTCATAGCTAAAAGATGCAGAAAGACTGAATAGTCTCTTGAAGAAATCAATAGTTGATTTTTTATGGCAGGGAGGACTGAGTCTTGCTAGATATTTCAGCAAAGTACATTAATAGTAAGTATTAAATATAACATACAAGGATGGCATTCACATTATTGACTTGTGTCGTCATAAAAGTACAAAGGAAGGCCTCTTAAAAAAATAATCGAGTGAGTTGCACAGTCAGTTTCATCAAACTCCTCAAGAGTGGAAATTGCATTTTTTCTTCTGGTTTTAAGAGAACTTCTTCATGAAGTGCAGTTTCAGGTACGCGATGGTGAAGAATATTAGTGACATGCAGGCAAGTGCCAGGTGGTTCTGCCACAGGCCCCAGGTACTCGCATCGATGCCTTGACTTTTCAGGTAGTCTTCTCCAGTACACACTCTGCAGATAAACACACATGCATTTATAGACTTTGTCAGTTTGAATTACCTAGGAAGATCCCTAGAAGCTGCAGTGTGATTTAATGTGTACAGCAGGTCAGGCGAACACCAGCTATGTTACTGTTTTATTTTCTATCTGTAAATTTGTTTGTCTTGTAGCTCCAGTTTCCTGTAGGAAGCTGAGATGGATTTTGTGAGGTTGTAAAATTGTAGTGTGCGTGAATGTCTTTCAGTAAATGCAGTTTGAAGAAAAGGGAAGAAGCATACTGTCAGATATTTCTAGTCTTATAAATACTAAATATGACAATGGGCAGAATGCGTGTTCTATGCAGGCAGAATGCAAAAACCCAGTCAAAACTTCATTTTCTCTAAAAAACTCACAGATTCTGCTGGTCATCAGTGTGTATCTCTGATACTCAGACTAATATTTTAGGACTTCTGAAGTTACTCATGGTGGGATTCATTTCAATGAATCAAAATACTTACATCTGGTCCGTTTGTGGATAGCTATTGTTGCTGCTTAAAACTGTGATGTTAATGCTGCCGCAGAAGTTCAGACCCTTCAATTCATTGATTTCTAAAGCCTTTTAAAATAAAGGAAACAATGACAACAGAAATCAGTAGGCAAAGGAATGATACATTATCAAGATGAGATATAATGCAATTAAAATTTATTCTAAAAATGTGATGGTATCACTACTATGTTGGCCAAATTTCTATTTTTTAAGGTGAGCAGCACGGTTCTTTTAAGAAAGGAATGTATGCAGCCCAGACCCTGCTAAGCATGCACCACAGCAGGCTTTACCACCTCCCCTAGGCTAGACTATTTCTGCAGGGGCATAGTAAAGCCCAAATTTCTCTGCAAAACATCACCCTAGCTATATTCTCAAAAACTAGGAAAAAAGCTTTAGCTTGGCAAGTTTTTGTCAAGATGGAAAAGAGAGAGTGATGGAAAAGAGAAGAATTTAATTTAATTTCTTTTTTTTAGTGATAACATTGTTCTTTACTTTGTATCATTTTTGTCCAGCTGCATTGCACTGGGTGTAGTTGTTCAGTTGCTCCCTCATATGAGGTGTTTCTAGCTTACAGAAATGAGCTCTTCCAGACAGCAGTGGGCGCTGGTTGATGAGAAGCCTTTCTTGTTTCAAGATCCTGCACTATGTTCCGAGGTTGCTGTACTTAATTAGTTTTGTTTTGCTCATTAGACCATAAAGTTCGAAGTTTTCTTTATCACAAAAGATACTCCTTTCTATCGAGCCTTTCCCAAATCTGCACACAGGAAAATACAACACTTACTGTCATTCCATATCGAGGGATGCTGAAGTATTTGAGCCAGGAGAGCCAGGGCAGGACACTTGTGAGATTGACCAGCAACCCAGAGAAAAGCTAGAGACAAGAATTACAAAAAAGCCACAACAACAAAAAAAAAAGCAAATTACAAATTACATGCTGTTATCATGTGTTCTTCTCTAGCTCTTGACTCTGCTTCTTCAGATATAAATGAGTGGGAAAGCCTTTCTAAAGAAAAAAAAATATTCCAGTGGAAGAACAAGGGAGAGGGAAGGAATCAGTTGTGTTACCCAGCTTTGAGCCATAACCCCAGGTCTTTCTCCCGAAATAGGTTAACAGGGAATGCTTTTACCCTGTGCATTAAAACCCTCTGCTTCCTGGCAGGGGGTCCTACATGGGCTCGCATGAACTGTCTGCTGCCCCTCAGGTGTGCACCGGGTTTTGCCTGTGTGCCCTGAGTCTGAGGCAATGTGAATGTTGTCTGTGAGTTCGGGGCTGCCTCATTGTTTATGGTGCCCGTCTCCCAGTCTCCCAGCTGGAGCTGTTTGTGTGTTGTCTGGTTCTGACATGCCCAGTGGTGGGCTCTGCAGCTGAGAAGCACAGCTGGAGCAGTGGTCTCAGAGAGCAGGAGGCTGCAGGTCATGTTCTCAGCCAGACACACTTGTCTTTTGCAAAGCTAAGGGCGAAAGAAAAAAATGTAGCTATAGGTGGCTTTTCTCCTTTCAAGGCAGTTTGCTGGTTGCCAGAGCCACACCGAAGAGGGCGGAGGGAGCCACCTTCTCCCGCCGCCCTCACACCCAAACCCCCAGCCACCCCCCCCCCGCGCGGTTCTTTTTTGTTCAAAGGACGAATCAGAATATTCAACCCCACAGCATCAGAATACTCAAATCAGACAAATCAGGATATGCAACATGCTCGACCCCAACAGTCTTTTTGCAGAATTCAGCTGAACTCTGAGCTAGTAGGATTTCTACATTTCAGCATTTCTAGGGTTTCAGGATTCAGTCTAGAAAACTGAATAATGCTACTCACAATCATAAAAACAAATGTGATAGTCATGAGTAGGTTTGCTACAGCGAGCACGCTCTGTCCTGCTGCAATGGCTAGTGCCATAGAAGTGGCTGTGTAGGACACCATCATAAGGGTAAACATCATTGTAAAGAAGGCTTCTACTGTTGGTTTCAAACCTTAAAGATGAGAACAAGAAGGGTTTCAGTACGATCCTGCCAAAAGCTCTACCATAAGCTGAACACTATCCTGAATTCTGTAGTGTGTACTGCCTACACACTCCCCTTTGTCTGACAGCATGGGCTACATCACCAAGACCCAAGACTGCCGTGGTGCTTGTGACAGCCCCTGTGTATGCCCTGACAGTGGAGGACAGGAGGAATAACTAGTAACACTAGAGATGGCAGAACAGGTAGGAGTTAAAAGTATTTACTCCACATATCCAAAGTGATGGCTTCACTGTGGCTTCAAGTTGTCTATCAAAGAAGAAATTTCTAGTGCAATTCCATGAGCGGCAGTTGTACAGCATTTCACTGGTTTCCAGCAGAGAGCTCTCCTAAAGGACCTAGTAGACTTATGGTGACTGTGGATTTGGTAGCAAGGTCTATCTCACTCCAGTTTCACAGTCTTAGACCCTCTTGGTGATGCAGCCTTTTTTCCTATTCCTTAGGGAAAAAATCTCAGACCAAAGCACACTGTGATTATTTTTAAGTCTTGCTTGTACTTTCAAGCTTTTGGGACATCCCAAAAGGATGTCATCATCTGAAAACTTACTCTAGGAAAATGGTCTGCTGTGGACATATTTTGAGGATGACATTCAAATGTGTTGTTCTAGGGTTGTAAAAGCTGGTGCCAGCAACTTTCAAAGTCTGCTCATTAACCAGAAGGCATCTCACCAAAAATAACAATTTGATACTAATTCACACAATATTAAGATCTTAAATGAAAAATTTTTCTTTTAGGTGTTCTTGCAGGGGTTGTAATCTTGTAATAGTCAACAGAAGTTTAAGATGGCCATAGATGAAAAGGAATAGAACAAACCTATGCAAAAATGGTCACATCATGCTTCCTTCTAGGGACAGGGGACATGAGATGTCACAGATTCTGTGTTGAATGCTTAAATCTTTGAAAGTGTTTCTTTTCTGTAGAAAACCACATGGGTGTGCTAAAAGCAACTGGCAGTAACCACTGCCATGCCAATGTAGTGCTTTACCCTACATAAATATGTACGTGTACATACACATCTATAAAACATATGTTCCACGTTGATTTATTGAGGGGGGTTGGGAGTTGCAGTGTGACCATAGGAGACCATACTTGCCTAACATGAAGTAAACTATACAGGTGAAGATGATGCTTGGTAGAGTCCTTATGGGTATTAAATCAGCCATTAGCTTTGCGATGAAATACGCAGACGTTCTGTAGTACCCACTGATATATTCATGCCTGGAACACGGAGATATGTACAGCATATGACAAATGTAAATCACTAAAAATCAGTATGGTTATTTAGACAAATGAATTCTAGCTCAAACTGGAAAAAAATCTTTCACAATTAGGCTGTAATGCAAATGTCCAGTAAGCCAGACACTGAACGTGGATACTTGTGCATATGGTTTTTAGTAAATATATATTGTGCTATCAAAACAGAAAGGGTAAAGTTTAAATAATTTTCATTTTTTATACAATGTAATATGCATAGCTTTAAAGAATCCAGTTAAATAGTATTTATTGCCTTCACTAGCAAGTCACAAACTTATTAATCAATACCAAAACTGAATATTCAGGGAGTTTTTTTTCCCCTACTCTGTCAGTAATTTTAAACTCAGCTATTTGTGATCACAGCTACTGTTTGGGGGATTTCCAGACAACTCACAGGTTAAAAGAGCACATTTGCAATGAGCACCATCAGTGAAATAAATTGAAAACTCTCCACTTGGTGTACATAAATGACAATTAGCCACAGTAGGGCAGACAAACTTGCTTTATAACAGTAGTGCCTGATAACCTTTTGTATGCTTTACTTACATAAATATCTTTTTTTCCTGAACGAAGAGTTCAATAGCTGAGATGCTGCTGAAACACTGGTTGGTGGTCAGAAAGAACATTGCACCCACTCTACAAAAAGCAAAACAGCAAGCTGTTATTAAAAATGTGATGTAAATGTAGTGTTTCCACTCCTGCGTATGTAAATCCAACTGTAGTGCCTGAAGTTTAGCAGTCTGTGACCTCTCATCCCAAATTCCATGGGAGAAAGCTTGGCTACAAGTCTGAGTCTGTAACAAGCCTGAATTACAATGGTACAGTTAGGATTTGCTTTTGGCATGCAAGAATAGTAAGTTCTCTGATGCAGTTTTTTTACCTTATTTCCTGACACATTAAAAGTTCTCAGATTGTGAGACATTTGTCTGATTGCAAACTGTGAGGTACTGAGTAAGCAACGTGAGAAGTAGTTTTCACTTTTTCCACTGAAATTTAAGGCACTTCATACCCAATTTGAAACTGGGCCATTTTTAGGTAAATGCCATATATGTAGTGTTTCAGGACTAACAGCCTAGAGGTTTCATAGTTGCAAAATCATGTGTCAGGTCATGTATATACAGCTGTCAAAATGATACATAGACCAGAATAATTTGAAAATCTAGCTTTAGGTGCACCTTCTGACTTACTGCTGGTAAATTCAAGTGTGTGTATATAGAAACAGACACAAGATTAAAGCTTTCATTTCCTAGGTTTATGTAGCCAAGTCTGCATATTTTAATCTTTGTTCTTTTCATCTTGGAAAAATCTTTGTAGAAAATAAGTTGAAGTGCTGCCATGCTGAATTAAACCTTTTTAATATGATGTCTGCTCTTAAGCATTTTTAGCAGCCTGACTGGCACTGAAAAGTGTCATCCTACAGAAGCATCATCACTCATTTCATTTAGACTGCTTGTCCAGCTTCCAGCATGGCAGGGCAGAGCTGCATCCCCCTCTCAGTTCTGCAGGGACCAAGGAACATCCTCACTTCAGAGCCACTAACACAGGCTTGGCCTTACTTACTGATTTGAAGGGAAGCATTTGCTTTAAAGAGGTAGAGCTTTAAATCAAATTTTTGAACATCCATTACTCAAACTGACTAACCTGTTCTGTAGTCCAGTGGAGTCCTCTTTAAGTCCAAAGAAAAGGGCACCTACAACCAGTCCCAGAAAAGCCGTAACACACACCTAAATGGAAAAAAAGAAAAGAAGAGGAAAAGTATCATTTTCATTGCTTCAAAACTTCAGTAGGTTTTTTTAAAATATGTAGCAGGTGAGTGCGGATTGACAAGAAGTATTTTCAGAAAGGACAAAAGCTGCCCAAGCTGGGAAGGGGGTCAATGGGGTGTTAGCAACCTGCAGCTCTGCAGTTCTGTGAGTCTCGAGCCATGACATCCTCCAAGAGGTGTCTGAGATACAGCAACTCCCCAGTGCCACCTGCTCGTGGCAGTGGCCAGCTGCTGCTGCCTCATGTGGTCAAGGCAGTGGGACAATGAGACAGGAGGGAAGTATGGAAGCTTCAGCTGCTGCTCACTCTGCCGTGGTGATACTGGCAGGAGGCACAATCCTGCAGTGATATCATGGCTTTTCTGTGACCTCCTGTGGGGCCAGATCTTGAGGATCTGCTCCACGAATGCTGGGAGGATGCTAATACTAGCAATGGGAGGATGAGGATAGCAGAGGCTTGGTGGGGCAGGTTAGAAAGAGGGATCCCCAGCATCACACGGACCTCACCCAAACTCCTTTCCCCAAGCACTGTTTCAGCCATTCTTAGATGGTGTGATTAAATTAATTAATTTGATTGCAACATTTCTCCTCTTTTGTTACTGATAATCTCCACCATTCATTCTCCTTTGGACAGAAAGTGACTCCCCATCTGCTGTCAGTGGCAAGGGTCACTTCAGTTCCAGGGCTGACCACAGCTCTGCAGTGGAGTGCTTCTGTGGGGATTTCTCTGCAGCCATCTCAAGGCTACTTTGAGCTGGGCAATCAGTCTTTCCTGACTGCCAGGCTGAGGATGACATTTTATTTTCATGCCCCACAATGTCTAATTGCTGGGGTCTATCACACATCTTATTCTTGAGACTTTTTTTAACAAGATACTACGACTGGGCTGTAGATGTGCTGATATTTGCAGTCTGTAACACAATTTAAATAGCAAAGATAACACTTGGCTCAGGGATGAAGACTGAAGTGTGTGCATCACACTTTTAAAACGCTAAACACAAATGACAAAAATCACAGGAAAACTGATGGTATCAGGCAGTTCTGTCATCTTTAAGCCCAAGCAATGCATGAGTCTTAACACCATAAACCCCTTGATCCATGGTACCCTATCGCTAAGATCCTGCCGAAAGGAGCAAATGTCAGGGATAATTTAGGTCCTAAGCCAATTGCAGTGGAAAGCAGGGATCATTTCAAGACCAATTTGGAGCAGATTAATGAAAAAAAGGCTTAACAGGCCGTGTACCACTAAAAGAATGCTGGTCAAATCCATCCCTAATGAGGGTGGGGAGATAGAAAAGATTGTGAGAAACAAGTCAGGACTATTAACCTGGGGGTATTAGGAGATCCTTGAGAGCCTAATTCTTGTCACAAGGTCAAGCTTTTACAAAGCAATTATTAAAGATCTCCATAGTATCAACATACAGACACACACACATATATCAAAGCCTTTTAACCTCGGGGATTCTGGACTCATTTCCCCTCCACACTGGCCATTTTTTCACTCATTATAAAAGCCATGATGAAGATAATTTATACCCCTGGATCCAGACCAATTTTTCTGTTGTCTCCTCTAGAATTGCTGAGAATTGTGAGTTTTGCTGCTGCTGTGACTGCAGTTTGGCCCATGAATTACAGGATTCCTGAGGATTAGTCATTCTGCAGCCAGACATTCTTTATTTCTGAAGGCAATGTACAGCTTTGAAGAAGTCAACACTTTTGGTGTTGATTCTCCTGAAAAAGCAGCACTAACAGGGCCAGTCATGTAGAACATGCTTATCTTTCGTGGTGGGTGTTAGACCCCATTGTGGGTCCTCATCACATCTTATCCAGAAGACATCACTGCCAATATGGACAGCCAAATGACCAAACAGCACGCACATTACGAGACTGTGAAAATATTTTTGCGCTTGAGCCAACTGCCAGCACTTCATTTTGTACTGAAGGTTAATTAGGTACGCTAATGTAGTCTGTTAACTTTTCCTGGCAGGGGAGAAGATTGGAGGCCAAACCCCACAGTGCCAAGCCTGGACAATTAGAGTCAAGTTTGAAGAATATTCATGAGCAAACACAAGAAACTACTTGGGACATAAGGTGCTCCTGGCCAGGAGCAGCAGAATACCCTACTGGAAAAGATCTTGCCTCCTAAAGTCTTTCAGTAGTCCAAAATTAATTACTGAACAGTCCTGCATGCCTCTCATTTGGGAGCATTGAGGACACCTAGGGAATCAGATTCCCAGACCTTGAACACACTTTCTTCAGATGCTTTCTACAGTCAAAATATCAAGAGGCAAAACTATCCCAGTGACTCATCTAATAATAGAGGAGTCAAATAAATTCAACATATACCACAAAACAACAGATACAAATAGCGTTACCTGAGCTATGGAAGCTTGAGGGTTTCGTATCATATTTTTAAACGTGCGCCTGGACACCCATTTCAACTGATGAAGGAAGGAATTGGCATATGTGATTTGTCGGAAAACTGATTTGGTTTTCTTTTTATTTCCCAAAGAAATATTCTCTAATTGTGCTTTTGTTTCTCGGTAGTACGTAGAGCTGGAGTATTTTTCTGCGAAGTGCTCGGCCAAGGTATATTCAGTGCGTTCTTCAGTGTTCTCTGCTGAAAAGATTAAAAAGAAACATGACCGTGCCTGTAAGGGATGGGAAGGTTGTTTAAGAGTTAGGCCAGGGAAGTTTTGTTGGGATGGGAGAGTTACTAATGAACCAGAAGAATTAATATGCACATGTAGTTTCAGTGATTCATTGCCCTCATAGCATGCAGTTCAAAAGAGTTTGTGTAAGTAAGACCAAACCTCTGTGCTTGTCTGTGCAACCTGACCACAGGCAGCAGCTTCACAGCAGACTCACTAGGTAAACCCTTGTCTGCCCATGAAGCTTCAACATGACAACAATATAGCTTTTAATCAAAAAGTGACTTTAACACCCGCTTCTAACTCCTCAAGGTTTCTGTAAATGATCTGTTTCACAGATCTGATGAGATAACTCTAGACTTTCCAGACTTTTAAATCCAGGTAATCCTGCATGTCTCTACTTTAGTCATGAAGAAATTTCAGCTGAACCTCCATTTTTTCTCAACTATAGTCCAATGTGCTTTTTCCAACAACATCTATTACCAGGTATAATATTTTTCAGATCCTGAAAAATGCATTTGGTAAAACAGTTGCTTTTTTTGGTAAAGATATAGTGAAACTTTGTGTTTGAGTACACAGTATATTCACAACTTCATGTCCCTTTTCAGTCCTGGGAAAAGAGAGTATGCTATTAATGAGTGGCAGCAGAAAAGGATGAAAAAGCATGCTACTGAACATAGGCAAGATCTGATTTTTTAGTTTGGGGTTAATTTCTGCCTTACCACAGCTTCAGGGAAGCATCAAGTGAACGCTGGTCCCCTATCTCTACGCTCTCTTCCCACCTGGCTCAGAGGAAGGAAAACAGTAATTTCCTAACAGATTAACCATTCCATTGGTTAATGGAATACAAGTCATAATTGCATCAAATTATGTCCATAACTGGTTTATCATCTCTGCTTCTGCAGGACTTCAGCTGGTTTGCCTTGAAGATGAAAACTCTTTCTCTGTGTTGAGAATTGCCAAAATAGTTTCTTATACTCCCAGACATTATAATTTCAATACAGGAAAATATTCTTGCACCTTTAACATCTCATTATTTGAATGTGACACAAAAGCATGCAGGTCAGTTTATGGATAGCAGTGACAAATTACTAAATACCTATTTATGAGAGGCAAACTATTCTTGCATAGGCAGGAATGTTTTATATAGTAGAGCTGCATGTGAATTTGGTACTTATTACAGGTTGTGCTAATTATTTTCCACACATAAACAAAAAGGATTTAGGAATTGCATGTTTGTGGGGTTTTTTCCTTTAAAGCAACATGGATCAGCAGTGCATGACACTTATGCATACAAACAGCCATACACTGTACAACAAAGTTATTGGTTGGTTGACACCTGAGAATGTTGTGTTGGACACCTCCTGGCAAAATACATGTTGTGATAATTTGACTCAGCTCTGCATTTCATACCTTTGTTAATCTCACCAGTCTTGTTCATTGCCACAGCGGTGGAGTCTCCATTGATGACGTCCAGGAAAAAGTCAGCAGGGTTGTTGTACGGCTCGCACTGGTACCCTGTGGTGACAGCAGTGCAAGCCCTGAGTGATGGTTGTGTGACTGGACAAAGGCTGTCAAGAACACAGCTACACGCTGTGCCCACTGAGCTGCCCACTGTACCATGGGCAGGGCAGGATTCAAAAGGTCTGTGCTTTCCCAAGGGATGAATGGCACTGCCAGGCAGCTCCATCAGTAAAAGCAAGGCGACAGCTGGCAATGTGCCTTCCCAGCCCTAGCGTGGGCTTTGTCTAGTTAAGATGCACCCAGGAACAGTTCATTAGAGGCCAGACCTATCATCCAAACCTACATGTGGGTTAAGAGGAGAAAGTCCCAGAGAAATGCTTAGCCTATTAAAACCCTGGGCTTGCTAATACATGCTGTGGCCAACTCTGACCCACAGTTATTGGCATTTTATTCAAGTTAGTGCACACTAAGGGTGTTGCTGCAAAAGTTGTGCTCACCAAAGGACTGGAAGTACCCAATGGCATGCTGGGCTGGCCCATGGTACAGCACTCTCCCTGCAGCCAGCAGCGTCAAGTTGTCAAACAGTCGGAATATGGAGTACCGAGGCTGGTGGATGGAGAAGATTATCGTTTTTCCTTGTTTTGACATTCTAAATGTGAAGAACAACACGGGTGTTAGCTTTACAAGTCAATTCAGCCTTTAGATAAAAGAATTCAAAAGTTCAGTTAAGCCTTGGTGAAGTTTGATTAACTTGTCATGCCAGAGAGGGGAGGAAGAAGGAAAAAAAAAAAAGAGAAAGAAAATATTCAAATCATATTCATAGTGTCCGTATGAGAAAAGAATTCTCACTTTGGAGAGAGAGAATTCATACAGACATTTTCCTACCCCCTTTGCAGACTTGGCTCGCTGGTAAACAATTACATGTCTGATTTCCCTATTTCCTCATTCTAACTGTAATTTAAGTAAAATACGACCCAAGCGTAGCAGAGAGGAGTGTTGAAAACAGGAGGCTGTTTCCTAGGCCATCACCTTTTCAGTAGCAGTAGAACAGCATTAGCAGTGCTGGCATCAAGTCCAGTAGTTGGCTCATCCAAAAACAAGATGGCAGGATCCGTGATGATCTCCATCCCAATATTGGTCCTTTTCCGCTCTCCTCCGGACACCCCACGAGTGAACTGGGTGCCAACCTGCCACAAAACAAGAAACTTGTCTCATTTGGCCTGATGACAAATCCTTGAGTGAACAGTATCCTACCCACACAGCACTATTTGGGAAGAGTTGTAAGAAATTTTGGCCCTACTCTCTGGAATAGATGTAAATGTTATTTCACACATAGGCTATTTATTAATGTTAGTACTACTTGAGGTGTTCTCTTTTTCTCCAGACACAGACTACCTTTCCCTTTCCCTGCAATGTAGTAGCACAGGGCAGCATCAGTGCAGTCTGTACAGATCCCCATAGAGAAATGTTATTAATTATTGTATTACTGAAACAGACTGTTGAAATTAGCCTTTTTTTAATCTGCCATGCTGAGCCATTTGGCTCATTAAATAAATCACTTAATATTTACTCATGGTTTAAGCACCATATTTACATGCCTTACCTTGGAATCTGCCACTTTGCTCAAACCCAGTTCCTTGATGATCTGATTCACTCGTTCTTTTTTTTCCTGTTCCTTTACTGACTTTGGCAAGCGAAGTGCTGCTGAGAACGTCAGATTTTCTCTTACAGTCAGGGTTCCCATCACCACATCATCCTTCATTAAAAAAAAAAAAAGATACTTGGAGGTTGCTTAGAAACTTCTATTTGTTCCTCCGAGAACTGCATTTATCTATGTTTTGTGCTGTTCTTGCATGCAGAGGGACAGTAGCAATGGCCAGAGCATGTGATAAGGTGTATCTTCAATGCCTGTGTCATAGCAGTGTTGATTCCGTGCACGTAATTGTATTTGACTCAATTCATAAAGCAACGTAATATAGGAACATCCTTCATCATGCATGATATCAAAATCCATAAATAGCAAAGTAATTAAAAACTATCCCTTTTGTCTTCTTACCTTATGCAGTTTTTTGGAGGTGTTGAGGGAGAGACTGAAGGGCTGAAGGGACTTAAGGAGCAGCTACATCTCAGGTCATTATCAGAGTGTGTTTGTTAAGGCAGCCCCAGCCTACCAGGGGAGCAGGGAGAAAAGAAGGAAGGAAAACAGAGGTTGTGTCCATGTGGGTGAAGATGAAGGGTGAAGGTGTTCCAAACTTGTTTCAGCAAAGGAGGAAGGACGGTAGGTTTTTTAGATATTATCTGCTTGTCTCTTGCAAGGGAATCTGTTAGATTTGGGAGTTCAGAGTGACGTGTGTTTTGAGATACCCCCTTTCTGTAACATGCTGACCATGCTTTTACAATTTTCATAGAAGCACCTCTTCAGGCCTTGATAGATTTGCAAGCCTGCTGCTGAGCACGAGGAGTGGGGAGGGGAAAGAAATTAAAAATGTGGTTTTCCTTCTTTTGTCCATCTTCCCAGCCCACCCTGGCAGAACAAAGGTTTTCTTAGAACGGGAGTTAGTGACATTGTTACTGGGCAAGTGGAGGTGCCAGGTGCATATTACCAGAAAACATCATACTTGGAAAATACTCCGTGCATATTGATAGCCTACAGCTGTTCCCCCAAATGGAGAACAAGAAGGGATCCAGATCGAAAGCATCTGCTCCCATAAGCTGTAAAGCAACTCAAATACAAAGCACAGTATTTTTCCCAGCAAGGGTAGATGTGTAGAGAGTTGCTACAGCAACAGCCCTGCTTCTTGGATCACAGCAAAGTACACTTGGAACACAGCAGCAACTTTTTACAATAGAATCCATACAGTGATCAAAATTGCCTACCTGTACTACGTACCCAGAGGTACATTTAAAGTTGGCAGGCTGAGGAGCTCCATTGATCAAAATGTCACCAGAAAGCCCATGGGGATCCTTCCTTGCAGCCAAAATGTCAAGTAGCCTAGAGGAAAAGTTAGTTACTTTGTCAGATGAGCATGCAGGAGGTAAAGATCCCTGAGTCACAAGCCCAGTTCATGGAACAAACAGCTACATGAAAGCATACCACGTTAAACATTTGCAATTTAGAAAATCCCCAGCAACTTTGAAGGACTGAGTTGGTTTTTTTCCTGGTTTCCTAAGGAAATGAGATCTGTGCAATTTTATGTCCATTTTTTCAAGAAATTGAGCTTTGCTTAGAATGATGCATAAAGATAGTGTTATCAGCAAAGTCTGGACTAAAGCTGAATTTCATCTTTGTCATATAACCTGACTGTCTTTTTTGAATTCAAGTATTTCTCAGAAACAGGTGAGATTTGCACAGACCTAAAATAAAAGCATGATCTTTCTCTGAAAGTATTGTCCATAACTGCTAAATATGTGCAGTTTCATTTTCTCTTTGGTATAATCTCTGTGTAGGACAAAGGGGGCACTTACGAAGATTTACCACTGCCAGTGGGTCCCAAAATTGCATTCAGTCCAGGTCTCATGATGCCACTGTAAGACAAAACAGATTTACAAAATAAATAGAGTGCATTTACCTCTTTTACTGTTTCAACTGGTAGGCTGTGTAACTTATCTGTACAACTACCTTCTGCATCCCATTAATTTTGGAATTAATGAAGCTGCCTGATCACTAGCAAGATTTATGATCAGTCCAACTCCACTTTAATTTTTATTCCTAATTCAAGAAGAACCAGTCTTCATATAATGAAGACAGTACAGAAACATGAGTAAAATGTAAAAAAATCTGTACATATATTTTTACCCCATGGATCTCTGCAAGTGAAGCACACACTTGCTTTAACCATATTCAGTTCTAAAGGTATTATTCTCTTTAACAGAGAGAATAATGGTCCCTGTAGGCAGAACATACTAGGGATTTGTCTTTACTTAAACTGCAGTTGACAGTTTCTCTGTATCTGACATTAAGCCACACGAAACTCAAAAGCCAGATAGAAAATGTTCCAAATGACCAATGTCAGTCAGCTGAGTTACCACAACATATGGCTCTTGAGGATGTTAGGAAAGACTTTAGGAGCTCATGTTTAGGAGGTGTGGAAATTGCACAGACAAAGAGCAGAACAGACAGAGCTACACAAAAGGGTGAATATTTACGATAGAAATTGAAGTTAGGGAGTTGAAAGTCACAGGTGACTTGGAATGGCATATTGTATAAGCACTTGCCACTTAGTTTAACTGCTGAACTGTGAATGGGCAAACTTTATGCATCGATTATTGAACAAAGGCCATAATGACACAATTCCTTTACTACAGTAGTGCTCAATGTTGGGGGGAAAAAAAACAAACAACCCAACAAAAAAACACCAACGACCCAGAAAACTATGCATCTCTTTAAAATTAACATAACCCTCGCTTATATTACTGTCTTACACATTATAAGTAAACTTCCCAAGATTAACCTTTCCAAAGGCCACCTTAGGGTGGGAGACACAACCATCGAGGACAGGCTGTTGGTATCTCGGTTAAACACTACAGCCCAGTGGGAGAACTGCCAAGTACTGCAGAATGATCAGAGCTGGCTGGTGTGGCCCTGTGCCGATAGCAGCCAGGAGGGCTGTACCCCTAGGGCCCAGGGAAATGATGCCCAGCAGCATGAGCTTTCTGATGTACAGGCTCAGCACTAGAGACTGAGGACCACTGGAGCCTAGCAGGAAGCTTAAGCACAGCTGATAGCAGACATGAACATATAATTTTTCTAAATCTTGGTCAAATATTGTATATTGTGCTCAGTGATGTGAGTGGACTCAGCTGTCCAGACAGAAAAAAAAAAAATACACGTACTCTAAAGAGATATTTAAATACATACTTGACATCTCTCAAAACTTCTTTAGTGGCTGTTTTTTGACAGCACAGGAACCCAGTCTTCATCTTCACACGGTAGCAGATGTTGTGGAAAGTGAGCACGCTCCCTGCTCTGCCAGCTAAGTCTGGCGAGGACGGCCTTCTGCTGGGGATGCCATTTGTATTCGAGTCTGACATCTGAATGCACAGGTGCGGCTGGTCTTCTGCCATCCTTCCTCTGCAAATGGAAAAACAGGTAGGGTAAGATTTGATTAGGTATGGAGAGGAAAGATGCGTCTTTTGGGTCCACTGTTCGACACTGAACCTATGGTGGGCCTTGCAGATGTCCATCTAGATCTCTCTCTTCTGGATAACAGTTTGGGTCCTGTGGGGTCAGACCTCGATATGACATGGAGCTGATGAGGAGCTGGGTCTGCCCTACTGCTTCACACCTCATGCGGTGTTAGGGTGGTAGAACGGTCTCCCTCCACCCTGACGGTCTGGTGTGGTGGCTTGACCTTGCCAGGCCACCAGATGCCCACCCAGCTGCCCTCTCAGGTGAATGTCTGTTCAGGCACCTGGACCACCCTCTCCCACTCTTTCCTCACTGTCCTTGGTGTCTGTACAGCTGTTTCTCTCGTATTTTCCAGCATCAATGACGTGCTCAGCTTTGCCAGCAGTGGGTCCGCTGGCACCAGCTGGAAGTGGCCGTGTCTGGCGAAGGGAAACCCCATGTTCTTTCTCACAGAGGCCTCCCCCTACAACACCCTCCCTGCGGCAGCACCTGGCCACAGGCACCACATATCTGTTCTCCAGATATGAGGAAGTAGGTACGTCTCACAGTGGCACTAGCACAACATTATGCCCTTTCTGGAGGGCTGCCCCTGGCAGAAAGGCCTGTACTTAAACTGCACCCTTGTTGGAAACCACGGGTACAACAGGTGACTCACCAAAAGATCTGCTCAAAATTACTGAGGTCCAAAAGGACCTGGTCTTCTGCCCCTCCTCTTTTTGAATGTGCTTAGAGTCAGCCCATTAGGTACTCTTTAAAAGGGATAGTCTGAAAGTAAAGACATACTTCCCACCTCTACTGTTCCAGTGCAATGTTAACAAAATCTAAAAATTGATGCGTTATTTTTTTGATCAAAATTATTTTGCCAAGGCTATAGGAACATGGGAGCTGACACTGCTGCCAAGTGATTACAAGTAATTATCTTCCTTGGATTTGATTTCCACACAAAATCTAGAACGCAGGTGTGGGATAATTAAAGTTATCTCACCTCCCTTATCAGCCAGGCTCCTGCCTGTGAGCCATCCATGTGCACCGTGGGGCATCTCTGGCTGTCCCCATGCATGAGGACCTTTGTCCCCTTTGTGCTTCCTAAGTAGCACAGCGTCATTCAGGTGAGAGGTAGGATCTGGCCTCTCTTCATATATCATGTTGACTCATCAGAGTCTAATTACTTTAATTGCCATTATAAGAAATGTTAGTACTGCACTAGTTAATGGAATTGAGAGGGTAGATGAGCAGCTAGGAGCTCTGTACCTCAGTCCTGTACCTCAGCATAGTTACACTGCTTACAGCAAGAAAGAAGGCAAATCATGAGACCATTTCAGACATGCTGAATGAATTTGAGAGCAGTTAATAAAAAAAAGTTGTTTAATCTAACAGAGACATACGGTCACATAACAAACCAAGCCCTTATCTTGTCAGTTTGCTAAGGTTGCTTGGCAGACAGCTGAACTCAGCTGAACTCTCCTTTGTAGCTATCAACAGAGAACCCACTGGAAGCCCTACATTCAGCAGGAGGCCTATCTGCATGTAAAGGCTGGTTCATCTGTCTCTCAGTGATGCTACCCCAAATCTAGCCCAAGCCTGCCTCTTCTGAGAAAGCCACAGTCTTCTTGTGCTGGTCTTAATGTTTTAGTAACCAGTCATCTTGGCCCAGTGCAAAGAAACTGTGTTCCAAATAGTATTATAATGGGACTAGCTTTAATATAAGCTAAAATGGATTTTGAGTAAATTGAACATCAATTAAATGTGCAACAATTAAAGTTGAGAGGCCTTTTACTGCCTGCACTCTACTTGTGCCAGAGAAGACTCACCTACCTGCAAGAGGGCAGCTAATTTCATAAGGGTATTTATAGAGTAGTTTCTGGGCTAATCTGGCTGGACATCGATCATTGCCATTTGAAAGGATGCTTTCTAAGGTAACTTAGATGCTTTCTAAGGTAACTTAGAGATGTGTGTTCAGAACTGCAGTGGAAACTTTTCACTTAAAGGCTCACCACGTGCTGAGCAGATGTTTGCTGAGCAAGGTGACAACCTCAGAGACAATAACACAGGTAGATATTACAAAGTCCCTTAGACTGCTGGATAACCAGGCAGCACAATGAGAGTGGAGAATTCTTCAAGAAACAGTGTGACTCTGACTTTGATATATCACTGTATCCATAAGGTATCTAGATCAGTATGTTGCTTGATCACATTTTTTTCTCAGCTTTACTCATGTAATATTATGAACAAACGGGGAAGAGTAAGGTGGAGTCTGACTTCAAGCATTATCAACAGAATAGTTAAATTCTTCTTTGTTTCATTTGGTTTTGTTGAGGTTTTTTCTGAAGACCAGTACAAAAGCCTAGCTCAGCATCTGCACTGAAATTTCAGAAATGCTTTTTAGAAAACAAATTTTTCTTTTAAGAATTAAACAGATTCAATCATCCAGACTGAACTAGGCAGGCAGACAGCAAGCACAGAATCAGAAACTGTTCTCATAAATACACGATCACACTACTTTCACAGTGTCATTCTTAAGAACAGAGAGTACGTCAAAGTCAAATTTCAAATTTAACTTACCAATCAAGTTATGAGATTGTACACATCTTTGCAAAGATGTGTGCAGAAGCTATATAAATAAAATACCTATGATAAGAATCACACCTGTCCATAGCAGACAGTCCCTCAATGGCTACTTAATAAAATTGTTGGCGGGAAACTTCCAGTTGAGGAAGGCTCAAGCCCACTGATTGCCCAAATCTGCCAAACTGTGTTTTGCTGTTGTCCCTTGGGAAGCCACTGGCTACTGGCAGCTCAGAGAAGAGACTGGATTCAGGTCTTGCTGGACCTCTGGTGTAAATTGGCACAGCCCTTTGTGTCTGCAGCGTGCTTGTGCTACTTGGAGGGACAGGGTGGGGTGCTGTAAGAGGAACACCTGGGAGGTAGATTTATCCAAGAAAACCAAATCTATTTCAGATGTTAGGTTAATACTGAAAATATCATTTTACACTTCCAGAGCTTCTAAAATTTATTGGAGAAAGAAATTGCAGAATACTCATTCTCTCAAAGCTTGAGTGGTCACTTATGCTGTGTGAAACCTGTGTCAGCCGCTCTCTTCTCAAAGGTGCATAACCATTGCAAGGTCTCTATCCCAGCAGCTCCTGGGGATGGGAGAGTGAGAGAGCTCCAGACATGCTGGTGGGAAGGGGCCTGGGGAAGCCCCCTAACCCAGCTTCTCCCTCCGAGCCAGACTGTGACCAACACACGATCGGATCAGCTGTGGCTTTGCCTGGGTGATTTGTGGAAACCTCTGAGTGGTGATTTGGATCTCAGCTAACAGTGTACTCGAAGAAGATGAAGTGCTAACAGAAGAAATGATGCCCATGTGCTAAAATTAGGCATTTGATTTGCTTTTATTTTTTGGAGACCTGTTTTTCTCTGTGGGGTGAGGAGTTGCAGTGACATAACCAGTTTGGTATTTTACAAACCAACCTTTGTATTTCTAATCTAGCAATAAACTTCACCAGAAGAATACAGGGGCATGCCCCTTTACAGCTAATATAATTGTCAGCTGTTTGCAATTGCTCCTTAGGAATAGAATTTTTTAAATATTGCAATTTTTAATTGTTTAAAAAAATAATGCATTGTGTTTAATATGACATGCAGTCATTAAATATTTTAGTCACAAGATGTGCAGGAAAAAGAAACAATCATGATGACTGTTAATCAAATCAATTTCTATGCAAACTAAAATTCTCTGAATGAAGTTTCCTAGATTTCATTGCCAATGGCTTGCAAATATTTACTTTGGATGAGAAATGAGCAGTAGATTCAATGACAATATGTACTGCCTGCTGTATTCAGAAATATTTGTTAATATGATGTGTTTCATATCCTTATCATATCAACCCTGGGTATAATGCATTTTTTCATCAGCAAAATAAAAAATTTATGAACTCTGGGAATTTTACAAATTTAATTTCTTTTGCTGTATAGTTCTAAAATATTTTCATATTTGCCACTGATTTCAACATAATTTCAGTTCAACCTAATAGAAAATACTTTTCTTCAGAGATATTTAGTCTCGGAAAATTTTGTCAGGAGACAAAGCACGGGATCTAGAGATTTAACCTTTTATTAATGGCAAAATGAAACTACTTTATTTAAAATTACCACAAAATCTCTTTAGCCATTGTTTTCATGCACAGAAAACGAAACTCTCAGTACAGTCACTTTCCTGTGTGTTCTTCTGAGACTTGTAAAGTACAGTCTCATTTTTCCTACATACACAAGGGACACTAAACAAAAACATTGACCAATAACAAAATGTACTAGAAAGTTCCATTGACTTAAACCCACTTGAACCACAACAATACCATACCTGGAGTCTTTCAAACAATTCCAGTAAACCTATTTGTATGCCTTAAGATATATTGTCTATATAAAAAGCCAAGAAACATTCATTCCTGCCAGTCTGCCTGCAAAGCTTTTGGCACGGGAGTGATTTGCAGTACAAACAGAAAAAAAAAAACAATTCTAAAAAACAATACTGTAGGAGGGGTACTAAAATTATGAAGAGCAAAATTCAGAAGTGTATTTTTTAAAATGCAGGCAGTTATTCAAAGTGTTTTATCTCTATAGAGAATAAGCATTGAAATTACTTAGAGGAAGAGTTTTAGAGACACAAGCACCTTTCAGCAGAGTCTTCTAAAGCTGCCTCAAACCCTTTTTAAAAATAGCCCCTTTTCCTTTTTTCTGGATACTTGAACATGCCAGAGATGCCAGATGAACATTTAAGTATGCTATTATTTCTCTCATTTTTTAATGGATATAAAGTTTAGTTTTGCACCCTGCAAGCTAAAACAGTACAGTATGTGCATTTTGGACTTTGGATACATATAAATTCACAGAAGTTGTAATTATACCTTTTTTCCCCTCTTTAATTGCATGCGTT